AGACTGGCCCTGGGCTAACATCCATTCCCATCTTCCTCCACTTTATATGGGATGCCGCCACAGTATGGCTTGACAAGTGGTGCATCGGTGCGCGCCCGGGATCCAAACCGGTGAGCCCTGGGCTGCTGCAGCAGAGTGCGTGCATTTAACTGCTTGTGCCACCGGGCCGGCCCCTCCTTTCTTTTTTTAAACTATATTTTGGGAATTAAAAAATTTTGGTGATTATTGTAGGAATTGCAATATGCATTTTGTCAAATCTACTTTATGGTACTACTCAGTTAATTCCTGTAAAGTATAGAAATTTTACTCTAGTATGTCTCCATTCCCTCTCCCCTCCTTTGTGCTATTGTTGTCATTTATATTACAATTCTATTATAACTGATAAAATGTTATATTTATTGCTTTGTATGATCTTATGTATTTTAAAAAGTTTAAGAAAAAAAGAGAGAAAACATTATTTATAGGTTCTTTTGTATTAAACTGCATATTTACTGTTTCTAGTACTCTTTAATTCTTCCTGAGGGTTTGAGTTACCATTTGGTGTCATTTCCTTGCTCCAGTATTGTTCTATTCTCTCCCTTGTCCTTTTGTGCTTCAAATCTTTTATTTTTTAAAAATCTTTTTTCCTATTTCTTTCTTTTTTTTAATAAATGTTTGATTTTTTTTTTGCTGAGGAAGATTGGCCCTGAGCTAACATCTCTTGCCAATCTTCCTCCTTTTTTGCTTTTCTTCTCCCCAAAGCCCCAGTAGATAGTTGTATTGTACATCTTTGTAGTTGCTCTATGTGGGACACCGCCGCAGCATGGCTTGCTGAGCAGTGCGAACGTCTGCGCCCAGGATCCGAACCCGCAAATCCCGGGCCGCCGAAGCGGAGCGCGCGAGCTTAGCTGCTACGCCATGGGGCCGCCCCCCTCATTTCTTTTTAGTCTTTAAAAAGTCCTCCTTGTCACCTTCTGTTTATTTTCTTATCTGTTGTGTTTATTCACTCTGGTATTATTTCTGGTTTATACTTCATTTCTGGAATGATTTATTCTTATACTTCTAATTCTTTCGTCAGTTCTGTCACCTCAATTTTGAGGTTTTAAATTTTAATGTGTTATTCTTTTATGGCTAGTATATTATTTTAAAGTATTTTGGGTTATTTTGAAATAGGTTGTAAATTTGATTGTTCTAGGACCATATCTTTCTGGCATACTTTTATTGTCTATAGGGATGTTATTCTTCTCTTTATCCTTTTTTTGTTTTTAATATTAACCTTTTAAATGGGATTTGACCTTAATACTTTGATTTTCTTATTTTCATGTGAAATTGTTTTTCTTGAACTTGTAGAAGAAGACAGGGTTCATCATAACTTTTCTAATTTCACAGAACTCGCGCGTGTGTGTGTGTGTGACACCTTGCTTTCTGAGATTTCTTGGCTCTGTTTCCTTCTCCCACTTTTTCCTGTACCTTATTTTTCCATTATCTCTCTTTATACCTATCATACTCGCTTTTCATTCTGCTTCAAGTAATTTATCTTCATGTGGGGGTTTTGTCTGGAAGGGAGCCTTGGAGGGTCAGTCTTGAGAGTGCGCAGTGGGTTAAAGTGCGCTAGCCCCTTCAGTGCTAACCATGGATTCATTGTATTCACTTACTCTTGGGGGTCGGAGTGGCCAGAACCCCTCCTAGTCAGCTGCTGTTCTCTGATTGGTTTGCCATGCTTTCCATTGTTATCTATCTTGTGTGTTCTCCTGTTCTTAGATCTGCCAAATGTCCTATTTTTTCTGATTCCTCCTTCAGAAGTGCTGATGCCAGTCAGGTCTTATGGCAGTTTTGCACACCTTTTTGTATCTTGGGTTTTGTGGTGATACTTTTTCACCTGGCTTTGTTGTGAATGTTGTCCATGGGGTTTTGGTTTTGCTACCTAGTTGTTCTCTCTGCTTTCATGTGTAGGACTTGTGGAGATTTTTCGGAAACTGTGCCATTACCACTGCTGTCATCTTCTTAGGTGTTATAACAACCTCACTGTGATGTGGGAAGTTCCCTTCCAAGGTTAGGTTCAGATGTCAAAATTTGTGACAGTAATGCTTTGGTATAATTAAACAAAGATTTATTACCCACACAGGTGGGGAGTTCTGAGACAGAGGCAGAAGACAGCTTTCTGGGAAGAGGTCCAGAAACAGGAAGAGAATGCAAGTGCACAGGTGTTTCATAAAGAATAAGTCCAGTTGGTGCAGAATTTGAAAGAGGCACCTGCCAGGCATGGAATCTGAAAGAGGTAGCAAGCACGCTTATGTACTTGGGGATGTTGGTGGTGGTGACCTCTATCAGTAAGGTGCAGAAAATGGCAAACACATGGAGGAGATGACCTCAGAGGTTGCCAGCACTAAATCAAAACATCAGTAGGGGGGGTCACACTTTCTTTCCTTTGGTCTCCCTAATAGAGATCTTTTTTTTTTTTTTAACTCCTATTATTGTTGCAGCATACTATTGAAGAACTGGGCTTTGATCTTGACTGCCATGTTTGTTTTCAGTATCTATGATCAACTCCTCCTTGAAGTAACTCGTGTTTCTAGGGGGAAACCATGAGATAGGCCTACTTGGTAATCCCAAGCAGAGAGAAGAAAGGTGAAGACTATGTACAGTTATCTCCACTTTCAGAAACAAGTCACCATTGGCTGTACAAATCAGTAAATGACCAAAGAATATGACGAGAACTAGTGATAGGCTTCTTAGCTCTGCTTTTTGTTCAGCTCTGTTAATTATATATTTCATTGAAGACATTTAATTTTATCAAGCATTCACTGAGTGTCTAGTAAGTCCACCTAATTTATGCACGTAGTGTTATGTGAGATCCTGGGAATATAAATAAGCCAGAGTCTAGTATTTACTTGATTCTAATAAGTTATTGATTTTAAGAACTTTTTATTAATTTGTAAACTACCACAGGAAATGTTCACTTCAGTTGTAAAGTGTTACTTCCATATCATAAATATTAAAATAATTGAAAACATATATCCTACAGTTGAGGAATTGTTTATAAAATGTTTATTAAGTACGAAGCATAGTGCTAAATGCTTTTGCTTACATTATCATTTAATCTTTAACTCAGTGAGGTTAGATTATTATTTTCCATTTACAGATGAGGAAAACAAAGCTTGCAGAAATGATATAAGTAGTAAGTGTGTAGGGGGGCATTTGAACTCAGCTCTGTCTGATTTCTTATCAATATATAAATGCTTTCAGTCAATATATAAAATGAGTATATCTTTTAGGGAGGGACTTTGTTTTTCTTATCTGTTTATTCTCCTGTGTTTAGTTCATTAGAGTGAATTTTAACTTTTTATTTAATAATATACAGTGGACTTAGAAAGCTTTTTTCCCACCAGAATTTTTCAATGATTTGGTTATGTAATTTGCAGTTCTTTAAGATGGTTAATGGAGTGCTAGGTAGCTTAGTTTTTACTGTTATTTATTTTTCAGTTGCATTACTTGTCTTTCTTGGCAGCTTCTCAGAACTTTCTCTTTATGTCTTAACATAATGAATTTTGGAAGACTTTAGTGTAAAATATGCAGACCCATTTAAATTCAGACTTAAACTATGATATCACTTCTATAAATAAGATAATCACTTTAGTAAACTTAATAAAGTTCTTCATTTAAAAAGTGGAAGAAACATTTCAGAAGTAGACATTGTGAGTTCTTTTGGAGAAGGAAAAGTAATCTGCTAGGCAAGAGACAATAAGAAAAATGAGAGGATAAAATTGTGGTGATGTGGGTTGGCAGCATAGGTATGAGGTTCTAAAATAGAAAGAAAGTTTGTTTGGTAAACTGGTCATGCTAGTCTTGTATTCAATTAAAGAAAATCTGGCCCAAATTTAAAGCACTTTAAGCTAGGACTGTTCCATGTGCAATAACAGATGCTAATTCTGCTTAGATAAAAATTATCCTGTTTCTCTTGAATTTGATGTAGTTGGCTGGTAGTCTCTTAGATATTAGAGATAATCAAATAACCTTCAGGACCTAAAAATTGGATTATCTTCCCTATAATATATGATATTCTTTATTTCTCTTCAGTTGCTTACATTTTTGAATATTATTTTCACTGAAAACATGATTTGTTTCTTATTCAAGAGTATTTACTGATTATATAACTTGCCATGACACTGCAAAGTTGTGTGCCTTCAGTACTGATCAGGCTCTCTGCCTTTCCTCTCATATAGTACGGATTGCTTGTGAAATATGTGTGTCTGCTTTGTCTCTTGAACACATTCTGCCAGTGGCAGGGCTTCCTTTGCCTGACTTGTGGAGGTTAAGTAACCGTATAACAAAAAGCCAGCTGAGATGATCTGGGAAGGGAGCCTTGGAGGGTCAGTCTTGAGAGTGCACAGTGGGTTAAAGTGCGCTAGCCCCTTCAGTGCTAACCATGGATTCATTGTATTCATTACTGGAGCTGGACTGGGCTTTGCAGAGAGTGCTCTACTAGAATGCCTTTTTAGCCTCATGTCTGGGTTTTTACTCTCAGTTATCAAAACCGTAAGAAGTGATGGAAGAAGCGGGCTCAGATTCTTTGTTCTTCTGCATCAAGAAGGGAAAAACCTATTGCTGATTTAAATCTGCTTCCCAGTGCCTATGGTAAAACCCTAGGATCTTTCTTTTTACCCACCTTTCTTTTTCTAACGACGTGAATTATGTGGAAGGATGGAAGATGTGAGTCCAGAGATGGGAATTGACAGCAGTGCTAATACTTGGGTCTTCTCTCTCGGCTAACTTGTGGTGAACCTGGGGCCTGCTTCCAAGTTAGGGACCGTTCTAAAGTACTTGGTTGGTGTTTTTGGACACTGTGAAAATAGATTTGAATTTACTGACTTATTTTTCATAGGTGTTTTTGACCTTAAGATCGGTGTTATTCAGGATTTGTGTTAATGTGGACTACACAAGACCATTTTAATGGGAGAGATGAAACTTTGATAAAAGAAGAAAATTTAGAAATGTTTGAGTTTTTCTCTTTGTGTTAATAGGCAGGCAGTGGTTAAAGGTTCCCTTCCACATCCTTTTGCCTTGACGTTATTTGAGGATACGTTGTACTGGACTGACTGGAATACACACTCCATTTTGGCTTGCAACAAGTATACTGGCGAGAGTCTGCGTGAAATCCATTCTAACATCTTCTCTCCCATGGATATACATGCCTTCAGCCAACAGAGGCAGCCAAATGGTAAGTGAACTTGATTTTTAAATTGCAAGTTGGAATAGCTTTGTAGCACTCTGATGTCTGGCTTTAGTGAGGAGCAGGAGGAGGGAGGACATACCCAAAGGTAGTGGGAAGGAGTTAAAAACAGGGAAAACGTCAAAATATAATTTAGGTTAAACAACAGGTTAAACAATTTTTTAGCTTGATTCTCTATCACTACAGACCACCTCAGCCCTTTGTTTGGAACTGTGATTATGGAGGTGGAGAAGAGAGAAATAAGAAATTGAGTTAGCTCATATGCTAAGCTTATACACAAATGTATTTCTTTTTCATATTATTTCTCTCCAATGTGTGTTTGATTGTGTTCATGGGAGTGTGTTTAAAAAAACAAACATACACTTGTCTTGAATGGAAACCTCTGTTAATCTAGCTGGTGAGTTTAAGTACTTCAGTTTGCTGAATAAAATAAACTGCCTGTGCACAACCCCACCCCTCTTTTTTTCTTAGTTTTGCTGCTATTTTTGGTCAACTTTTACAATGATTTGGGCTGTGACTGTTGACAATAATTTCTTGTAAGAGAGGACTAGAATTAAGTTTAAAAAGGAATATGAGAATGTTAAGTGTTTGGCACCTGTGTGTAAATAAATGTCTGGCATGTGTCTGAGTGTATTTCAGATTGTATTCCATAGCCAAAAATGAAGAATTTTTGGATTATGCATTGCTTTGTATTAGCTTCTTCCATTTAGGGGGAGATAGTCAAATATTGAATGTTAAATTGGAATCTGGTGATCATGAGTCCATAAAAACGTTTTTTTTTTTTTTTTTTAATTTTTAATTTTTTGTGAGGAAGAGCAGCCCTGTGCTAACATCTGCCAATCCTCCTCTTTTTTTGCTGAGGAAGACTGGCCCTGGGCTAACATCCATGCCCATCTTCCTCCACTTTATATGGGATGCTGCCACAGCATGGCTTCCTAAGCGGTGCGTCAGTGTGCGCCTGGGATCCAAACTGGGGAACCCCAGGCCACTGCAGCGGAGTGCATGCGCTTAACCGCTTGCGCCACTGGGCCGGCCCCCATAAAAATGTTTTTAAATGTATGTGTTACTCTTTTGTAAAAAAGAAAATGTGTAGTCACTTGTATGAATTTTTTATTCTCATGGTTAGCCCTCAGGAGAGAATTTCTGTGTTTTTTGTTTTTTTTTTTTGTGAGGAAGGTCGGCCCTGAGCTAACATCTGCCAGTCCTCCTCTTTTTTTGCTGAGGAAGACTGGCCCTGGGCTAACATCCATGCCTGTCTTCCTCTACTTTATATGGGACGCCGCCACAGCATGGCTTGATAAGCGGTGCCTCGGTGCGCGCCCGAGATCAGAACCTGCGAACTCCAGGCCGCCGCCGAAGTGGAGCGCTCGCACTTAACTGCTTATGCCACCGGGCCGGCCCCCGTGTTGTTTTTTTTTTAATGGCATTGTTGATCTTTTATGTTTTACTCGTTTAAGAATTTGCAGTTATCTGTGATATTGTTCTCCTTTATCTTTCATATTTTCTTGGTCTCCATCTTACGTTATTTTCTGTGAATATTATTTTAAATATATCCCTTTTCCATAGTTTCTACAAATTTGCTAATTAATCTCTGCATCTTCTCAGTTTTCCCTCTTGTAATCCATTATACTTATCTTTTCCATGGTAATCTTTCTGAAGTGTGATTTTTCAACATTCTGATTACTTTTCTTGGTTTTTAGGTGCCCCCTACCACTGTCTGTTCCTATTCCCTGGGCTTATTCAGCTTCGGTTCTTATTAGTCAACAGAAACCTTAACTTCCAGTTAGACTGTTTGCCTTACTATCTTACCCAGTGTACAGCCTCCAAGCTTTTATTTATGTGTTTTTTTGTTGTTAGTGCCATCAAGTTGATTTTGACTCCTAGGGACTCTGTGTACAGCAGAGCAGAACACTGCCTCATCTTTTTGCACCATCCTCTCACCTTCTGGAGCTATATCAGACAATGCTCAGCTGTTGTTTGTAGGGTTTTCATGGCCAGTTTTTTCAGAAGTGCGAGGCCAGGTCCTTTTTCCTAGTCTGTCTTAGTCTGGAAGCTCTGTTGAAACCTGTCCACCAGGGGTGACCCTGCTGATATTTGAAATACTGGTGGCATAGCTTTCAGCATCACAGCATAGGCGCCACAGTATGACAATCCACAGGTGGATGGTATGGTTCCCTAACTGGCAAATGAACCTGGGTCAGGGTGCTGAGAGCACTGAATCTTAAGCACTAGACCACCAGGGCTGGCCCATATGGTTTTACCACACTTGACATGTCCTCCTATCTATCCTTCCAGGCTCCTGTCATGTCTTCTATGAAGGTTTTCTTCAATTCTTGAATCCTTAGTGATTTATTTCCTTTGTGAGTCTATGCTTATTTGCAGTCCGTGATGTGCACAATAGCCTTTAGTTTCATTGTTTTGTATCCCAGTTTTATTGGTTTGTAATTTTGGCATACTTACTAGATTGTAAGCTCTTTTAGGGCAGAGACCACCTACTTTATTTCTTTATTTGGATACAAAATAGTAAGCAAATTCTCTCTGATTAATTCCCTTTCTTGCAGATGGTCTGGTAGTTAAGCACCTGGGAGACATTTGGTAATAATTTGGTTTATCACAGTTGCTCGTGTTATGATTGTTAACCTTTGTGTACCTAGAGTGAAGGAGGTCATGCATAATCATTGGTATTAATCAGTGTGATTTATGTTTGACAGCTACAAATCCATGTGGAATTGATAATGGTGGTTGTTCCCACTTGTGTTTGATGTCTCCAGTCAAGCCTTTTTATCAGTGTGCTTGCCCAACTGGGGTCAAACTCCTGGAAAATGGAAAAACCTGCAAAGATGGTAAGAAGATGGTCTCTAAGATGGAAAATTTTTAGATAGCAATTGGGATTCTTTATGATTTATTTTATTTCTCTATAATAAGCTCTATAGGTTACAGTGCTTTGGGAGACTAGTCACTGTAATCGCCCAGTCTTCACAGATGGTTATATAACAGGAGTGTTTTGTGTTTATAGCATTTCTTGAATACTTTTTTAAAAATTATTTTGGTATTTAGACTAAATTTTTAACATGCTGTTTTTGAAAACAATTCTCTACCACATCTCATAGTCATTGATATCACAATTGATTCCTGTGGAAATGAGTATTATTTCTGATAAAGAATACATTTTTAACAGTAGGTAGCACTTGTAAATAAAGAACTTCTGTGCTAGAAAAAGATGTTTATTAAATTTTTAACTATAAAGACTATCATGAGCTAGATATATTTTTTAAAAAGTGATTGAATGATATTTTTGATTGCCTTTTAACAACAGAGAAGTGCTTTCAGAAGAAGAAAAAAATTCCATACTGTACTGTTTAAAGCAACTTCTTTCTATACTTAACAACCACGCTGCCTCTTCTCCTTACTCTCTTAATTCCTTGTAGAGAGAGGGCATGTTGGAGAAGTATGCTGATTTAGGACATTTCAAGGGACTTCTGGTTTGGGAGAACACCAGTTCTCTTTTTCTTCTTAATGAGAATGTTATTCTTTATTCTTATCCCTATGGATCACCATCTGGTTCTCTAGCCACCAGCAAGACCTGGTAAGAAAATTGTTATATTTAGCAGTGGCTTCTTTATCTAACTCTGAAAAGCCGAAGCCTTTGTTTTGGAGTGGGTTAGAGAGTTCCTGGCAAGGGGGTCAGAGAGTCAGAGAGATGGAATTGAGTGCGTATACAGGATATTTGTCATGACTTGGCATTGATAAATTATCCTCGTAGTCAAAGGTGAAGCTGCTGACTCTTGTCAGACAGTTTCCATGGCAAACAATAATTTGGTTTCAATTTAAAACAAAAGGTTTTTGTAATGTTGCTTTTTTGTTTAAAAATGTAGCCTGACTTTAAAACAGAGGATTTATTTTAGCAATAGTAGTCTCTCTACTCCCTCACAGCAATGCAAATGTACATGTTTAACTAGTATTTTGAATTTCGGATATACATTTGGCATATAATGGCCTTAAGTTAACTATTCGGTTTTGATCACCTTGTTGAAATTAACAGCTTCTCTTTCTATGGCTTCTTTGTTTTCAGAGTTTTGGGCTGGCTCCTTTTGGTAGTTAGCAGGGGCAGTGAATTGTACAAAGTTATTCCCACTTGGTGCCTGCTATGGCATTTAGGGTTGTATTTTGTCCAAGACAGAGTTCACTTATAATTAGTCCGAGAGTCAGAAAGCTGATGTTGCGAGTTTCACTCCTCTTCTCAGTTTTTTCAATTATAATTCCAGATCGATGCTTGAAGTTTACTGCCAGTGTTTTCTTTTGAACTCATTTCTTTGGTTGGGAATCTTTTTTCACTTTCTGAGTTGTCAATTTCTGTACTGTCTTTTATTAGCTTTTATAATTAGATGACTTTTTACTAGTGGTTTACTTGAACATTCAAAATCAAAACAAAAAAATTAAAAAAATCAAAATCAAAACAAAGATTGAACTTAATATCCTCATTCTCCGCTATGTTTTTAATAAATACTAACAGGTTAAAAACATTTCATAAATAAATCTGATTTAAAACTCAATGAAATAAAAATTTGAAAGTCTTTATTTTTTTATGATAATAATAATATATTAGTTAATATTTATTGTGTACTTATATATTCAGTACGTCCCTGAGTTTTACATTTATCTCCTTTAATCCTCACAGCAACCCTGTGAGATACAGATGAAGAAAGTAGGTTTAGAGAGATGAGCTGTTTTGCCTGTTTGTGCAGCTGCTTGAATCCAGTTCTATCAGAGCCTCAACTTTTACTTTTTTTTGCCCATACTTTATCCTTTTTTTTTGTGTGTGAGGAAGATCAGCCCTGAGCGAACATCCATGCTAATCCTCCTCCTTTTGTTTTTTTTCCCCTGAGGAAGACTGGCTCTGAGCTAACATCTATGGCCAATCCTCCTCCCCGCCCCCCCAAAGCCCCAGTAGATAGCTGTATGTCATAGTTGCACATCCTTCTAGTTGCTGTATGTGGGACGCGGCCTCAGCATGGCCGGAGAAGCGGTGCGTTGGTGCGCGCCCGGGATCCGAACCCGGGCTGCCAGTAGTGGAGCGTGTGCACTTAACTGCTAAGCCACGGGGCCGGCCCTCAACTTTTACTCTTAAACACTGTGTTAGCGTTTATCTAATTCTCCCTCTCTGCTGCTGCTGTTTCCTTCTCCACGGCCTCCTTTGTCCTTAATACTGTCAGGCATTCCTCTATAGTTCTCTTTGTTAGAACAGCTTTACTGAGATACAATTTACACATCATAAAATTCAGCCATTTCAAGTGTATAATTCAATGATTCTTAGTAAATTTACAGAGTTGTGCAACCATCACAATCCATTTTTGGAACATTCTCATCAATCACAAAAGATCCTTGTCCCAGATTTCTTTATCTTTTAAACATTCTTCTTGAACAAAGGACCTATATTCTGTGTCTTCTTCCTTCTTTAATATTCAGCTACTTAGCTGCTTCTTCATTACTTAGTTGTTATTCATTATACCTTTAAGTAGCTGTCATTAATTCCAGGGGCAATAGAATGAATGAAACCAGAGAGGGAATCAAAACTTGATTTGGAAAGCTCAGCCGTTATGGAGCTTGACCCCATAGCAGACTCTTCCTATTTCACTGCGTTACTTTCCGTTTTCACCCTAAATAGACTGTAGTATCCTTTTATACTCATTTACTTTTCAATTCCTGAATAAATTCTGCATTTTTCATTTAGAGTAGCTAAATTTTGCATGTGGGTTTCACTTTTTTCTTTCATTTATTTCACTTTGTTGTTCTAGGTGCCACTGAATTATTGCTTTTAGCCCGAAGGACAGATTTGAGACGTATTTCTTTGGATACACCAGATTTCACAGATATTGTTCTACAGTTAGAAGACATCCGTCATGCCATTGCCATAGATTATGATCCTTTGGAAGGCTATATCTACTGGACTGATGATGAAGTGAGGGCCATACGCCGCTCATTCATAGATGGATCTGGTAGTCAGTTTGTGGTCACTGCTCAAATTGCGCATCCTGATGGTATTGCTGTGGACTGGGTTGCCCGAAATCTTTATTGGACAGACACTGGCACTGATCGGATAGAAGTGACAAGGCTCAATGGGACCATGAGGAAGATCTTGATTTCAGAGGACTTAGAGGAACCCCGGGCTATTGTGTTAGATCCCATGGTTGGGTAAGAAGCTCTGCTGATAGAGAATTTTGCGTGGTGTTTTTGTTTTCTGCAGGTCCCTAAAAACATTGACAAAACAGTATGAAGTATGTGTTGGTTTCCAATAAACAGCTCTTTAATGGCTGTGCATTTTTAGAATATAGTGATTGGAGTAAAATCTCAAGTTAAAGAATTGCTAGTTCTTTTCCTTGAATATTTTGAGTACTTTTTCTTTGCAAATTAAGTCCATGCTTGCTAACTTTGGGTGTTGGCTGCAGGTTTTGCCGAAGTTGCATCATGACTGTGAAAAAAGTGGAAAGAAATTGTTTTCAGAACTCTTTCTCTTCCCATAGAAGATTTAATTTCATCCCACTTTCACTACTTCTAGAATGATTTGTTAAACAATATATCTTACTTTATATATCCCCAAATATATGACTGACTCGATTTCTAAAACTTTTGTCAGACCCTGCGGCTTCACTCCTAGTCTTTGTTTTGTTTTGTTTGGCCATGCCAGCCTTACCACAGTCCAGGGAAACACAGCCTTCTATGTACCCACCAATGTTATTTGTTACTGTAAGATTTATTCTGAGGGCAAACATAGTGACAAATTATTACACTTCAGTGTATGCCAATGCCTTAGAGCCAGTTAAACTCCCAGGAGCCACAAGAATCCCTTAGCACTACAGGAAGACTTAGTCATTTTAGGAATTCAGTTTGTCATCTGAATATTACTACTGGGATAACCTTTTTTGTATCAGAGATGACAAGGCAGCCAGAAAAAGAGAGGACTGTTTACAGGAAGGAGCACAAAATGTTTTGAAAAAACATAACTAAAAATGGAATCTCAATATAGGAAGACATTTTCATTATCAGTTCTAGAAAACACTGATCTGAAAATTTCCTACAAGCTCATATACTGCTATTATGTCTTAAACATACTCTTGATATATTTAGGTTCTATGTTTTTTTTTCCTTCTATGGTGTTAACTGATGATACCAGTGTAATAGGAGGGATGGATCTCACCTTTAGGATATCTGAAAGTTACAGTTTATTATCTATTTTTAGCTCATTTTCTGTTTACTTCTATAGGTACATGTATTGGACCGACTGGGGGGAAATCCCGAAAATTGAGCGAGCAGCTCTGGATGGTTCTGACCGAGTAGTGCTAGTTAACACTTCTCTTGGTTGGCCGAATGGTTTAGCCTTGGATTATGATGAAGGCAAAATATACTGGGGAGATGCCAAAACAGACAAAATTGAGGTTTGTTTATTGCTTTTTTGTTTTAAAACCGTTTTATGATGGTTTTTGAGTTAAAGGTAATTTGATGCAGATATTCTTGCCTCTTGTCTGGGATGCCAGAGATATCTTTTATGGAAATTCTACTCAACCTTCAGGATTCTAGGGCTTGTGTATTTTCTTCCGCCTAATCGAAGGATTTCTCAGTTATACAGGCGTGAAAAATGGGTGTTCACCTATTTCTAAAAAGCTTATGTGAATTATTTGCCTCATCGTATGTAAAGCCACTACTTGAATTTCCTAGGGGCAATTTCTGCACAAACCAAATACTATATAAGATCTGTACTAGAAGAGCTGGTAGTCATGTGAGCAAAACAGCCCATACCTCTATATATAGCTTTTTTTTTTTTCCTCCTGAGGAAGATTTGCCCTGAGCTAACATCTGTTACCAGTCTTCTTCTGTTTTATATGTGGGCTGCCACCACAGCATGGCCACTGACAGATGAGTGGTGTAGGTCTGTGCCCAGGAACTGAACCTGGGCTGCTGAAGCAGAGCACACTGAACTTAACCACTAGGCCACTGGGTCCAGCCCTCTATAGCTTTTTTTGTTGTTAGTGGTGTTGGGGGTAGGTGGTTGCATATATTAAGTATTAATATGCAGACAACTTTTAAATTGGTTTTTGAGCTGCGTGTGAGAAAGATTAAGTAACCAAAGCTTGGGAAAAAATATTTACCAAATGATAGAAGTAAGGTGTGGCAATCAGAATACAATTATGGTGGAAACAACCAGTGGTGAATATTTTATCACAGTGTTTTGTAAAAGGCATATATCCTTGATATTGACTATGAAGTCTAAAATTTCACAACTTTGAGTTGGGCTGTGCTAGAGGTCTTAGGGATCACGTACTTAAAACAGAGTTTTGATTATAATTTTCTTTTGGGGGATGCATGTCTTATATAAGGAATGGCTTTAAATGGCTCTTCATAGGCACAGCACATATCTCTTAGTAGATAATTTGGGCTCTAGAGCAGTTATTTTAAAAGGTAATTCTTAGGAGTGCCCGGGATCTGAGGAAATAATGAATTAAAGGGTCTGTCTTTCAGAACAAAAACTTGGAATAGAAGAAGCCCATTAGTGTTCCACCAGGCTCAAATATTGAAAACTGCATCTCTTATTCTTGCAGCTGGTTTCCATTAATAGAAAATTTTGCATAGACTTAACTATATAAATTTTCTCCCTGTTGTTAGTATTTCACTGCTTCCCCCCCTTAAATCCAAGTTAGTGTTTGAATCTTTAACAGCTGGAGTGTAGTGCTGAGACAAAGGGTGTGGGTTCACTTTTCAGACAGACTGTTAGCTCACTTGGGTTGGCTTGAGTACAAATTGTATGCTCATTCCCAACCAGTTCACAAATGTGTATTGTTGATCAGCTGTGGACTGTTATTTTGTAGGGACTTTTAAAATTTCATGTTTGGTCTTGCCTTTTTAGTTTATTATGACTGATTGATTAGATTGTAAATAAAACATTTGTTTCTTACTGGGAACTTTTCAAGTCTTATTTTGCCCAGTTCAGGTCACTTTTAGCACTTTAGATATGGAAATTTGTTGAGAATCACAAATTGTTGAGGAGGGATTCAGGTATAGAAATGAGAATTTATGGAGGTTCTGAGTGACAGTGTTTAAGAATAAAAATGAATACACATTATATAATAATATGTAATATTGATTAAAAGGGTTTATTTTCTTATCTTGCAGTGCGTGCAGATGTTAAAATTAGTATTCATTCTTGCTCTTTGTTCTGCCGTCTTGAGCTATACATGTGTATACAGTGGTATTATTTGCTCCTTCACTTTTCTTTCTTCCCTGAGTGGTACCAGCATCCTTAAACCTGCCTGTCTATTTCTCTTCTTCTGGGTTTGCTTGAACACAGCTGCTATTTGTTCTTTTTGTCCTCTTTCTGACAAATTGTTTGGGGTTAGTAGTGAAATCTGCTTTCACCAAGTTATACTCACAAAAGACCTCCCCTTATTCTTTCCTCTGGAGATTCTGATGAAGTTTCCCAAACTGAACATCAATACTTCTGTCATTTTCTTTTCACAGACACATCTTGGAAATAAAAAGAGCAGGTAGTGTTTTTTTTTCTGTTCTTATGATGATGTGTAAAATTACTGATACATGGCAAACTAGGGAAAGAGCACAGCTCTTCATCTAAATTAATCTTGCATAATTGGGTGAGAAAAACTATTAGTTTCCCTTTCTGAAACTAGTAGTGATTATAGGAGCAACTGCCACCACCAGCTTTTCATCTTGCTTTACTTGATAGTAGGTGGATTATAGTGAACTTGAAAACCTTTAGGAAGATACATACTTTTAAAAATGCTTCTTTTTCTAAGATTATTTGCTAGCCTCTTTTTAGGTAGCAGCTGATTCTACGTACTGATAACCCTAGGTCACATGCTCCCTTCTAGTCCTTTCCTTTTAAGAAAGTTTTCCAGTTTTTGTCATGCTCAAAAACGAAAGCTGCTTTTTCCTGGGACTATAAGAAAATATCAAATTATGATTGTAATAGACCTGTTCTCTTCTGAAAGACTTACAGTTTACTTGGGATCAAAGTGCCCTATATGTGTTTATAGCACATTTGGGAAGAAAAGATAGCTATTTGGTAAATTATTATGTAGCAATGTAAGGCATAGTAAGCTCTTGTATTTTGAGTGGAACTCATGGAAAGAGCTCAGAATGTTCATTCGCTCATGTTCTCTGCTCCCTCCAGGGAGATTCCTTAGATCAGGTTCTCATTCCCTTTTTTTGTAAGTGGTGATATAACCAGATACTTTGTCTAAGGATTAGGGAAACCAGAGAAAAGTAATGGGGAGCTCTGGGTTTCAGACTCGATTTTTGTTTTTTCGGTGAGGACACTTGGCCGTGAGCTAACATCTGTTGCCGCTCTTCCTTTTTTTGCTTGAGGAAGATTGTCACTGAACTAACATCTGTGCCACTCTTCCTCTATTTTGTATGTGGGACGCTGCCACAGCATGGCTTGATGAGCGGTGTATAGGTCCACCCCCGGGATCTGAACCTGTGAATCTTGGGCCGCCCATGCAGAGCGTGTGAACTTAACCACTACGCCACCCGACCAGCCCTCAGACTCGATTTTTATTGTACGGAGTTGCAGAAAGAAGGAATAAGTTTACCTGAGGTTTATAACCAGCTTCTGCAAAGAGGGACATAGGGAATTGGCTAATGACATCACATTTTTAAGACATAGTGTTGGCTAGTGCTTTAATATAAGGATGCATCGGTGAGGTTGCATTGGGTTTCACTTGTCAGCTAATAGTACAGCTTATCTGAAGGTGTTATTTAAAAGATACATGCTGGGGCCGGCCCTGTGGCTTGGTGGTTAAGTGCGCGCGCTGCGATGCTGGTGGCCCGGGTTCGGATCCCGGGTGCGCATCGAGGCACCACTTCT